TGCATCAATCAATATGATCATGTAATTCTTTTCTTTTTTCTTATTTATATGGTGGATAATGTTGATTGTTTTTCTGATGTTGAACCATCCTTGCATCCTTCATGACAGATCTTGAAATGTTCTTTTTGATGATGAATGTAGTACCATTCCCTCCAGTTTTCATTTCCAGCATAGTAAACCATATGATTATTAGATTAAAAATGGCCAGTACAAGTCCAGTATAGATCACTAGTGCCTAGGATACTCATCTTTATGTGTACCATTTCATTTTTTCCAATTTTCCTAGATTCATACTTCGTCCACTCCATGTTCCAATTGTTGATGGATGTTTTTGGTTTTTCCTCCTTATTTTAAGTTGTGACCCATCAGCAAATGATGGTTCTGAAAGTTTTACCCTATTTGCATCATCACAGTCAACTCTACTTTAAGGAGGCAGCTTTTATCCAGTCATATTTTGAGTGGCTTCCAGCCTGAGGGGCTCATCATACAGCACAATATCTGACAATTACTGTTATTGTTAAGTGCCTTCAAGTTGCTTTTGATTCATAGCAACCCCGTATAGAGTTTCCAAGGAGCAGCAGGCCTTGCAGTTCAGTGTTTATTTTACAATGTCACACCAAGACTTCATATCTGACAATATTCTGGTGTTATTCATAATGTTTTCATCTTCCAATACTATATCTGACAATGTTCTGCTGCTATTCGTAAGATAAGCAAATGTAAAACCATGTGATCTAGGATACCTGTTGACTGTTTCCCCTAATGTAGAAAATTACCAAAGCTGCTTTTTTGTTTTGCCACTTAATATATGTGTTATTTAAGGAGCTCTGATAGCGTAGTGGTTACAAATCAGGCAGCTAACCTCTCGGTCAGCAGTTTGAAACTACCAGCTGTTCTGCGGGAGAAAGATAAGGTTTTCTGCTCCTATAAAAATTTACAGCCTCAGACACCCTATACAGGGTCGCTATGAGTCAGAACCGACTCCACAGCACACAACTACCACCATTTGTGTTATTTATTCTTTTGCAGATTTAACTGTTTTACAAGTAATACTGTTGTTTTTATTCTTCTCCAGATTTAACTTTTACAAGTAATATTGTTGTTGTTAAGTACCACCAAGTCAATTCTGACTTATAGAGACCTTGTCTAGGGTTTCTAAGAAGCAGCTATTGAGTTTGAACCAGTAAACCTTGCAGTTCAACCAACTTTGCAGTCCAGTGCTTATCCTACAGCATTACATGAGGACTTTACAAGTAATATATGTAAATTAGGCATTTGTAGGCATCTTATGTTGGAAGTATTTGAATGTGGAGGTCAACCCAAGCTTTAATTCTAGGACCATCTGTTAAAACAAGGTTGAGTCAAAAATTGTCCACACTCTGGCTATAGAATTAAGTTTAATCAACTTTTAGAAAAGACACATATCTCATTTTCACATAATCTCCTTGCTTTTCAATACACTTATGCCATCTGTCAGCAAGCTTTCATGGTGGCTGGTGGCTGTGTGCCGTGGAATCGGTTCCGACTCATAGCGACCCTGTACAGGGTTTCCGAGGCTGTAAATCTTTACGGGAGCAGAATACCTCATCTTTCTCCCGCGGAACAGCTGGTAGTTTCTAACTGCTGACCTTGCGGTTCACAGCCCGATTCATAACTACTATGCAACAGAGCTCCTTGTCAGCAAGCTTTCGTATCCCCTTATTAAAAAATGTTAGGGGCTGAGCTGCAAGCCACAAGTGCAATGCTGTCTTCACACTTCTTCAGCAGAGGGGAATCTTTGTCTTGGAAGGGGCACTTTCAGGGGACTGAACAGGGGTAGACCAATGGAGCAAGATTAGGACTATAGGGAGGATGCTTTAACACCTCAAAAGGAAGGTTTTCAAAGTTTCAACACTGTGGGTGTCAACACTGTGGGCAGAGGTGTGAGGACTTGCAGTGTCATGCAAGATCACAAGGCTCTTGGACAGGGGTTCTCCGCCTTTAATCCAAAATTTAGGCTTTAGCTCTTCATTGAGCAGCTCACTATAATGAGCACTGTTGATAGGTTTCCTTTTTCCTGATTCATGTTCAATACTGGCCATTGAGAATCACAGAAAACTGTAAGCATCAATTTTCCAGCTGATGGTTGACTTTTGAACTTTTCCTTGGTTGAAAATTTAGGATGTTTCCATTCCATATTTGCTGTTTACTCTCAGGTTCGTCATGATGAATCCATGTCTTGTCAGCAGTAATGATTTTTTTTTTTTTTTTTAAGAAGCTTTTACCTTCCCTTGGTTGAAAATTTAGGATGTTTCCATTCCATATTTGCTGTTTACTCTCAGGTTCGTCATGATGAATCCATGTCTCGTCAGCAGTAATGATTTTTTTTTTTTTTTTTTTTTTTAAAGAAGCTTTTACCTTCCTTTGCGTATCAGTCCATATTTTGTTTGCAGATGGCTAAACACTTCTGTTTATGCTCTTCTGTGGGTTGTTTCGGTACCCATTTTGCAAAAACTTTTTGAAACCAAAGTCTGTCGTGGATTATTTCATAGGCAGAGCCATGGCTGACTTGCAAATGATATGCCACATAATCCATTACCACTCGTCTATTCGACAGAATCATTTCAGAATCTTTTCATGTACACTCTCAATGTTGTCATCAGCTGTGGATGTGGATGGGTGTTTTAATATAACCAGGGTGTGGATAATTTTTGACTCCCCCATGTAGCTACTTGGCACTGAGTTTGTGCTTCTTTGAGAAACTCTGCTCTCTCAAAATGATGGTAGTATAACTTCCATTAGAGCCAGTGTAAAACACATAATGTACTGTCAGTAAATATTAGTTTCCTATTCTTCCCTTCTCACTGCTGTTAGTGCCGTCAAGTCCATTCCGAGTCATAGCGACCCTGTTTAGGGTTTCCAATAAGTTACTGGTGGGTTTGAACCACTGACTGCAGTTAGCAGTCCAGTGCTTATCCTACAGTACCACACCAGGACTCCTGCCCTCTGATTAAAATGTGTTTTTTCTAGATTGAATGATAAAGTGAAGAAGAAAACGCTAACATCATTCGAAAGGGACTTTATTTTCAGCAACTTGACTGGGCAGCTTAATTATCAGGGTTTTGAAAAGGCCGACATGGTGATTGAAGCTGTTTTTGAGGACATTAATCTTAAGCACAAAGTGCTAAAGGAAGTAGAAGCGGTAAGTAAGGGGTCTTTTGTAAGGGGCCCTCTGTTCTTAAACCTCAGTGTAATAAGTGGAGGACACTAAGATCTTTTTTTTTTTTTTTTAAGAAACTCAAGGTTCACTTTATCATTTTATAGGACTATTCATTTCCAAATGTAAATCTTTTATGTGAGCCCCTGCACACAGCATATGCTATGAAGGTGAAACCTAAGTCCTAAGAGAAGAAAGTTATTTAGAGTAGGGTTCACTGACCTTATTCTTTTGGGAGTTTAATTACCCAAGCATACAATAATAATGTCAGAGAGTATAACAATGTCATGGAGATTTCTGGCTGGCTGCAAATCATAATGAAACTTATTAGGACTGGGCAGCAAAGGAAGTTGGGGAGAAGCAGCTTCCCCGGGTAAGATGCAAGTGCTCATTCTGTTGAAACTCTCCTTTGGTCTTTATCCCAAATGCTTTACAGTAGTCATTCTTCAGATAGCAGATAATGTGAACTAAACAAGTACTTGAAGTGAGTAGTGCAAATGGCAGTAGTACTCCAGGCCTGAGAGCAGACCAGGGCCTAGAGCAACCTCCAGTTAGGTAAATGGAACGTGAGTTAGTCAGTGGTAGAAATGAACTGTCTGGAGCAGCCAACTGTGATGGTTTAGGTGCTCTCAAGTTGCCCTTCTGTGTCTCTGCTTGTGACTTGGAACCCAAGGAAGGTTTAGAAACAGCTCTGTTTAGGACAATTTCATTTGTCTTTTCTTTAGGCAAAAATGCAATGCTAGATTCAACTGAGGGAGAAAGTTCAGAAGAGTTGGGTAGATTTGTGTTCCATCTGTGCTAGATGGCATTTCAGTATAGAGATACAGAGGATGTTCCCAGGGTCCTTGGAGGGCACTGCTAAGCCAGTGGCTGGTGGGTTCTGAGAGCCTCTAAAACAATCACAACCAGGGTATTTGCTTTGGGAAATCTGGGTTCGAGGTATCAGTGGAGAAAAGTTTGTTCGTTTTGGCAGTTAGGAGGCCACTAATCAAGGAAAAGAGAAGGAAGAGGTACCAAATTGAGAGAACTAATGGACTGAGAGCAAAGCAATATAGTAGACACAGTTCAAGCATAAAGGTAAGGGGCACGGGATGGGGCAGCATCCGGGAGGCAAAGAGAAAGAAAAGAAAAGGGATTTTATCTGAGAATGTAGGACACAGAGGGCAAGAAACTAGGTGTCTGATAAAAGAGGCGAAGGAGACATAACTAACAGGGGATTATGGATTTTTAGCAGATAGTAAAAAAGAGAGAGACATACCACCTCTAGACAAAACGATGATTACTATAGATAATAACAAAATTCAAAATGTTACATATATGTTTTTGGGTTCTTTATCTGTCATGTGCTGCTTTTTTAGTGAAGCTAGTGAAATCATCTAGAGTAGGAGATGGCTGAGGAAGTTATTCTGAGAGAATCGAAAAGACATTCTCCAGGTCCAGGACAGATACACACTTAAAAATCAGAGAACATCTGGGGAAAGACCTTTAGGAGGGCATCCATTCCATCTTCCCAGTAGCAGGGTAATCCCTTCATTGTTACTGACCTTTACTTTCTTTTCAGAGAAATTTAAAGTTGAATCTACATGACAGTCCTTCAAGGATTTAAAAATTCTCTTTCCTTATACCCCACAGCACTAAACAAAGCTCACTCCTCCGACATCCTTCATTAGACAATGATTCTAGATCTTTCACTCTCTGGTTATCATCTTTAGTGTCTCTATCACATCTGAGCATTCTTATCTATATAACAAACCACTGCAAAACTTAATGGCTTCAAAAAGCTGTTTATTTTCTCACAATTTTGCAGTTTGGGGAGGATTATGGCACCCTGATGCTCTTCTATATGGCCTCCCTCTACTTGTGGTCACACAATAATCGAGCCAGAGCTTCTCTGCAGCCTGACCCTTGACTTGGAGAGAATAGAAGCTAGCAGACTTCTTAAAACTGCCCCAAGAACTGACAGAGACATTTCTACTACATTTTACTGATCAGAACACATCACAAGACCAATCCAGATTCAAGGAGAGAGGAAACAGACATGTCCTCTCGATGGGAGGAAAGACATGGCTGTCTCCAGCCATCTTTGGTCTGCTCCACTTAGAGGATTAGACACTCATACTGCTATTAATGCCACTTGAGACTTTATTCACTTTCTTAAAGTTATATTGTGCTGTCGAATCACATTACACTTCTGGTTAATTAAAATCATGGGATCTTTGTCACAAGTCTATTGCCAAGCTGCGTCTTGCCCATCATACACCTGTACAGTTTATTTTTCTCCTTTTAAAAAATTCTTAATGAAGAACTTTACCTTTGTCTACATTGTAGTTAAGTGCCGTCAAGTTGATTTCCAAGGAGCAGCTGGTGAACTTGAACCACCAACCTTGCAGTTCAAATGACTTTACAGTCTTACGCATTAGCCCATAGCGCCACACCAGGACTATTTTTAAGTGCCATCAAATCAGTTCCAGCTCATAATGACCCTGTATAGGGTTTCCGAGGAGCAGCTGGTGGATTTGAACCGCTGACCTTGCTGTTCACACTGACCTTGCTGTCCAGTGCATTATCCTACAGTACCACATTAGGACTCCATATTATAACTGATATTATTTTATACCCAACTTTTCATCATGTTAAATATGTCTTGAATCTTGATTCTCTGCTCTGATTCTGCTTGTGCCAGATTGGCACAAATTTGACAGTGTGCCTCCCACGTATTTGATAAAAACATGAATTAAGTTAGGATCCTGGACAGAATGCTGAGACAGTCTGCATTAGAAACTGTTCTCCAGGGTACTAAAGCTAATAGTTACTAGTATTCATGTACTGCAATTTAGTAGTAAATTTTTGTTGTTGTTAAGTGCTGTCGAGTTGGGTCCAACTCAAGAGTGACCCTAGAAAGATGAGGCTTTCTACTCCCATAAAGATTTACACCCTCAGAAACCCTGTTACAGGATTGCTATGGGTCGTTCCAACTCGATGGCACTTAACAACAACAACAATAAAATGAGGCAGGCATGTATGAGTCAGGGCTGAAGGGTGGAGGATGTCGTCATCATAAGCTTTCAGACTCCAGGACAGGTTCAAATGAGAAGCAGGGGTTGTCACATGTGCTTGGTATTGAAATTAAGGATACTTGATTTAAAGCCACCTTCTCGGTGTTTATCTGAAGTTTCTTCCTTACCCAGATGTCGTCCCCAGGTTAGGGTTAGGAGACCTATGAAGCACCAGTACCTAGAGGAAGGCTGAGAATAGTGCAAAGAACATATTTTCCCGGCACAGAAGCCTCTAGGTGATCTGTAAATGTCTAGATGAACTGACTCCACTATCGGAGCAGTTCTGAGTGAAAGCGTGGGCTGGACCCAAGTGTCTCTCCTTAGGTTTGCTTTGGACTCTGGTCCTTTCCCAGGCTTACGTGACACATTCTTAATGCTGTTCTCTGCAGGTGATTCCAGGTCACTGCGTCTTTGCCAGTAACACTTCTGCTCTCCCGATCAATGAAATTGCAGCTGCCAGCAAAAGACCTGAAAAGGTATATTCTGAACAGAGGGAAACCTTGTAGTGGTTTACTGATGAAGGTTGGGAACACAAATGAATAAGGAATTGGTATGAGTAATGAAATGGGTGGGGTAGCAATGTATCCCCAAAAGGGCACAGAAAAGCCAATACCAAGACCAGTGAGAGCTGCAGCAACAAGTGAAGTACAACTGAACTACGTAAGTGATTGTATCCCTGGTGTGTGTTATCTTTCAGGTAAAGACTTTAAACCTACATTCATCCTATAAGTAAGCACTGAAGGATAGACTCAAAAATAAGGAGGAATACTCCCAAAGATGGACCTTGGCTACAGAGCCGGCTCTGGGACTGTCTAGGATGGGTGTGGTTCCAACTCATATCTGGGAATGAAGGTTCAGGGACATGATGGGATATGTCCACTTATGGATTCAGTTAGACTTTCTACCCGGACATGAACCGGATGGGTGGAGAACAATTTCAGTGAGTATTTGGAATGATGCCTAGAAATGTGACTTAGGATTTTAGTATCTCCCAGGGTAATTAAGAGGAAGTACAACCATTTAAGGGAGGAATAAAACACAGCTCACACTTCACTTCACTTCTCTAGAAGGTACTGATTAGCCTCAGCTAGCTCTCCAGTCCTCATGTGGCCCTGCAGGATAATACACTGGACTGCAAGCTCAGTTGAACCTCAAGGTCACCAACCACAAGTTCAAACCCACCAACCACTCCTCTGAACCCAACACAGGGTCACTGTGAGTTCGAACAGACTCGATGGCACATTGTAGAGTCCTGGTGCAGCACTGTAAAATAAGCACTGGACTGCAAGTCAGTTTCAACCTCAAGGTCAGCAGTTTCAAACTCAACATCCTCTCCTTGGAAGCCTTATGCAGGGTTGCTGTGAGTTGGAACCAATTCAGTGTCACTTAACAACATGGTGGAGATCATGGTTTGTGCCCATTCCAAAGAGGGTAGCTCAACAGACTGTGGAAATCATCAAATAATATCATTAATATCACATGCAAGTAAAATTTTGCTGAAGATAATTCAAAAATGGCAACAGCACATACATCAGCAGGGAACTTCTAGAATGAGGGATGTCATTACTGATGTCATGTGGATTTTGGCTTAAAGCAGATACTATTAGGAAGATGTTTACTTGTGCTTTTATTGACTACAAAGGCTTTTGATTATGTGGATTGTGACAAGCTATGGATAATGTTATGGAGAATGGGTATGCCAAACACTTAATTGTGTTCTTGAGGAACCTGTACATAGACCAAGAGGCAGTCATTTGAACAGAACAAGGGAACATTTATTGGTTTAAAATCAGGAAAGGTGTGCACCAGTCTTGTATCCTTATACCACACTTACTCAGTTTTTATGCTGTGCAAATACTCCGAGAAGGTAGATTCTGTGGGGAAGAAAGTGGCATCAGAATTGGAAGAAGACTCATTAACAACTAATGATACAGATGATACAACATTGCTTGCTGGAAGTGAAGAGGACTTAAAATATTTAGTGATGAAGATCAAAGACCACAGACTTCAGTATGGGTTGCAACTCAATATAAACAAAACAAAAATCCTCACAACTGGATCAATATATAACATCAAGATAAATGAAAAAAAGATTAAAGTTGCCAAACATTTAATTGTGCTTGGATCCATTGTCAGCACTCATGGAAGCAGTAGTTACGAAATCAAATGAGATACTTCATGGGGCAAATATGCCGCACAATACCTCTTTAAAGTGTTCAAGAGCCAAGATGTCAGTTTGAGGAGTAATGTACTCCTGGCTCAAACCATAGCATTTTCAGTAATTTCATATGCATTTGAAAGGTGGACAGTGAATAAGGGAAACCATAGAAGAAGTGATGCTTTTGAGTAATGGTGTTGGAGAAAAACATTTAAACTACCATGGACTGTCAGAAGAACAAAGTCTGTGTTGGAAGAAGTACAGCTAGTATGTTCTGTAGAAGCCAGAATGGTGAGACTTTGTCTTTCATACTTTGGACATGTTATTAAGAGAGACCACTCCCTGGAGAAGGCAAAGTTAGAGGATCAGCAAAAAAGATGAAGACTCTCCAACAAGATGGATTGGCAGCAGCAGTGGACTCAAATGCAACAATTGTGAAGATGATGCAGGACTGGCAGTGTCTCATTCTGTTGTGCGTAGGTTACTATGAGTTGGAGCCAACTTAATGGCACCTAGTAACAACCACAACCAGAAGCAGCCAAAGACAGGCAGGAAACATAAAAGAACTTTCAGGAGCAGAATTGTTAATACAAAGATCATGTGCTAAAACCACAAACATCTATTCCCTCATATTTTGTTGGTCCATGCTTGTAGTCTAGTTGCGTAGCACATAGCTGATGAGAGATGATATGTAGCCTGGTTGAAGGCAAGGCTCAGTGATGGCAGGAGAGGGAGAAGTGGCATCTGATTATATGTCATGAAGGGAGACAAAACAGTATAAAGTGACCATATTCCTTTACCTAGAGCACCTCTGCAGCATTTAAAATCCGTAAAGGAGAATTGTCATTGTGCATTTGATGCTGACTGGGACATGCTCCTGTCTCTGTTTGCTTAGGACTGAGGGGTTTCCTGGGACACTTGGCTTCCAGTGCCAGACAGCCAAGGGGGAGTTGATCACTTTAGGCACAGCTTTTTAAGTGATATAAATATATTTTGTTTGTGATAATAGTTACAGGGGTTTTATACAGTTGTCACAACATAACCTGAATGAACACTTTCAAATTCTTGCATTTCAATCTATGTAATTATATATCAGAAAAGTCTAATTCCTTCTACTCAAGGGTACGGAGTCTGTCAGGGCCTATGTTTTAAAGTAGTTTTAGACATAAGTAAAGTTTAGCGATTGACGGCAACTTCTGGATTGCTCCATTTACGGGACATTAAGTTGATTTGTGTATTGCATAGTTGGTTAATGCAAGGTTAGTTTGAACCACAAGGTCTATAGTTCAGACCCACAGCTGGTCCTCAGAAACCGTATACTGGGTTGGAACCAACTCGATGGCACTTAACAGTAGTGGTCAGGCTCTGAAGAAGGCAGCCCTGTGATGGAATCCCACTCTGCCATTTGCTCACTCACTCTAAGCTGCCCATTGTAACCTCTTGTCTTTGTTCCTTACGTACATAGTTCACAGGGCTGTAATGGAATGATGGTAAATGTGTTAAGGAAGAGGTAAGCTGGTCGTTAGTAAGAGTCAACAGGTGGTAGATAGTATTAGTTATACCTTACAGCTAACCAAACCAAAACGCCAAACCCACTGCCATTGAGTCAATTCCAATTCATAGTAACCCTGTAGAACAAAGTAGAACAGTAGAACTACTCTCTAGGGTTTCTGAGACTAAATCTTTTTAGGAACAAACTGCCTCATGTTTCTCCCACAGAGCAGCTGGTGGGTTTAAACCTCAAACCTTGCTGTTAGCAGCTCAACACTTAACTCACTGCGCCACCAGGACTCCTTCTTACAGTCATGTTGGGTGGGGGGACTGCAAAACTACAAATTAATGAATTAGACATCCTTCACAATTGTATTGTGAAGATTCAGTTTAGAGAGGTAGTCCTCAAACTTCAGCATGCATTAGAATCCCCGGGGAGTTGAGTTTTAAAAGCACAACTCTGGGTGGGTTCCATCCCCCCAGAATCTGATTGGATAAGTTTGGGATGGTTCTGAGAAGTTGCAGTTCTAACATCCCCAGGTGTTGCTGCAGACCCAGGACCACACTTCTAGAATCACTGGTTTGATGAGTCTTCAAGTGCATTGCATTACTTGAGAATTGGGAAGTATTATTTAAACCCAGTGCCCTGGTGAGGAGACTGATCTAAGTAAAACCCACATATATCTCGGACCACCCAACAGATCAACTTAATCTTCCCCTACCACCACCTCACCACCATCTCTCCTTCTCCACACACCCCCTCCCCCAAAAAGTACTAGGCCATCTTAGCTAAACCATCAGCATCAATCTTCTCTTGTAAGTCTAATTTGGCCTCTGGCTGTGATTTTGGCACTGATTGTGGGTAGGATCAGATGCCCTTAGTGAAAAGTTCCAGAAGCAAACAAAGGAGAGCATCTCAGGAAGCTCTTCCTGAACACACTGCACTTTTTAGTGAGAACGAAGTCACCTGACTACAGGCAAGCGGTGTTTCTAGTCATACCCACCTTTCTCTCTACCATTTTTCTGGGGAAAACGAACATTCATTCTTAGGTTCTCTCCTTGGCATTCCTAACTGTTGGCTTTTCCTGCCCCTTGCCAGGTGATTGGCATGCACTACTTCTCTCCCGTGGATAAGATGCAGCTGCTGGAGATTATCACAACTGACAAAACATCGAAGGACACAACTGCTTCAGCTGTCTCAGTTGGTCTCAAGCAGGGCAAGGTCATCATTGTGGTGAAGGTAAGAAGCTGTGTGACAGCATGGCGCGTCTTGAAAGGCTCATCTATAACTATACTGTGGAACTCTTCTGGAGTAACGCCAGCTTTCGATATGATTTCCCCCTCTGTTTGTCTATATTGTGGTATAATGGAGTCCTGGTGTGGTGTTTGCTGTAGGATAAGCACTGGACTGCAAGGTTAGTTGGAACCATAAGATCAGTGGTTCAAATCCACCAGCCTTGGAATTCTTACATAGGGTCGCTATGAGTCACATCCGACTTGATGGCACAAGTGGTGTATTGAGCCTTTATCACTGATTTGGAGTAGGGATGGGGAGTGCCTGAAACTGGCAGGGCTCTCCTAACGACCCCAGACCTTTCAGGTGACTGAAATTATATGCTGTGCGGACTGATACAAGCCTCCACTGGGTGTGGCTTCCCCCACAGTTGAAGGATTTTGATTGAGATTATCAGTCACCTTCCATTTTGAAACCCCGCTGGGAATGGGAGCATGTTGTCAGCCTCCGCAGCGGCAGAGGTCCCAGTGAGCTCGTGTTATCTCCCTTGACAGGATGGCCCCGGCTTCTATACCACCAGGTGTCTTGCACCCATGATGTCTGAAGTCCTCCGAATTCTCCAGGTTAGTATTGCTGTCTGGAACATCTGAGTCATCTTTGACCCTTTAAATCAGCCCTCCAAACTAGTCATGTCTGTTTTACTAACTGTAGGTGCCTCTCCACGAAGGCCCTTTGTGGTCTGTTTCCACACAGCAGCAGGAAATCTCGAGGCTCATGCTTTACTGAACTCAGGGCATAACTGTAACTCAGCTCCTTTAGCTTCCTCACTGCATGAAGCCAAAGGCCTCCCTCCCTCCATGCTTCCAAGTGTTGGTCCTCTGTCCCCTTTGAGGCAGGGACCATCAAAATCAGGGCCCACTTGGTCTGTCCACAGCTGCATCTGGCCATAGAACTCATACCCTGGCAGGAAAGGATCCTCCTCAGTGGGCATTTCCCCAGATACTGGACCATGGTGTCCAGTGGCACTGTATTTTCTTCCAGATGTGGAAAACAGTCCTGTCTGCGTGGAATCTTTTCATGATTGAGATGCAAAGTTGAAGATAAGGAAATTAATAATCTGTTCGCCACTAAGTTTACTTAAACTACTATAGGTTAGGGGAGGCTCTGAATTTTCACAGATGGCACCCACAAGAACAGTGGGTTTTACCCTCGGCTGTGTCTGAGGCAGCACCTGAGCCCTTGGCAGAGTGTCTTAAGTGGCCTTCCTCTGAGCTTCCTGCTTTACTTCCCCTTCAGGAAGGAGTTGAGCCCAAGAAACTGGATTCCCTGACCACAGGCTTTGGCTTTCCTGTGGGTGCAGCCACACTGGTGGATGAAGTTGGTGTGGATGTAGCCAAACATGTAGCAGAAGATCTAGGCAAAGCCTTTGGGGAGCGGTTTGGAGGTGGAAGTCTAGAGCTGCTGAAGCAGATGGTGGCCAAGGGCTTCCTCGGTGAGTAGCTTTCAGGAGGCCTAACGGGCACTGTGTTCTGAGCAGTCTGCAGAGTGCCCTCTGAAGCATAGAGCCCCCAATCACTCTGGACTTCAGAATGGTCTCAGGAGAGCCTCCTCTCAGGGTGGATCTGCAGAGTTTGGACCGAAGACAGGTCTAGTCTTCTGGGGCTTTGCCATCACCTGGCCCACATCATACAAGACTGACAGTCGTTTTCTCCTCCGAAGACCTTTAATACATCTTAGGTACTGCACGAGAAAGCTCCATGACCTAGCTTTGTCACAAAATCTGGCCATCTGTGTGTAAGGCCTTTCAACACAGAGAACATGAGGACCACCTGAGAGATGGCTTGCTTTCTTGGCAAAGTAACATCAAAATCAACACTTGGACCTAGGCTTTAAATCTCACCCAAGTGCTGTTTTCTTCATTCAGATATACAGATCTGAGCTTCAGGAAATACAAGAGCTTTCTCTTTCTCTGCCAGCTCTTCTGACAAAGACTGTTTTCTAGAGTGAGCTAGAGAAATGCAGGAATATAACAGGCTGGAGCTCTTTAACAGACCAGCAGGAGGAGAATCTGGGAATTTGAACTGCCCCTTTGATTGCTTTTAGGTCGCAAGTCTGGGAAGGGCTTTTATATCTACGAGGAGGGTGTGAAGAGTAAGAATCTGAATTCTGACATGGACAGCATCTTGGCAGGTCTGCAGTTGGTTCCTAAGGCTGATGTGTAAGTCAGTGGTGTGTCTGGCAGCCCCAGGCTGCTTTGTTATCGTCCCCATCCCTGAGCAGAAAGAGCTCTGCTGATGCTGGCAGACGTCGTACCCTTTGGCCCTTTTCCATCCCACCTTGCCGTTACCAGCATCAGAAGGTGAGGATTGCTTAGGCCTCACTGTGAAGTACCCAGCGTGCAGCTAGAAAGGTAGATTGTCCTTGACCCCTCCACTTTTCCAAATCCTTGGTTACCATTTGTGGGGAACTGAGTCCTGAGTCACTACAGTCTAAGAGCTCTGGTAGCGTAGCGGTTACGAATCGGGCTGCTAATCTCATGGTCAGCAGTTTGAAATTACCAGCTGTTCCGTGGGAGAAAAATGAAGCTATCTGCTCCCATGAAGATTTATAGCCTCAGAACCGACTCCAGGCACGTAACAACAGTCAAGAAACATTTATTTCCTACCCTCTTCTAGGTGCTGTTTCAAGTTAATTAGGGCAAGTAACTTTCTACAAGAAGTAGGACCCCCGAGGCTAGGGTTTCTCCACAGAGTTCAGTACTATGTTGCCCCCCAGGAGCTCTGTCACACCTACCATGCCCTTCCCCTTCTGCACCTGCAGTTCCTGCTGTCCTCCCTGTTCACTCTCCCTGAACTTCCTGTCTCTTCCCATTGACAGCTCCTCTGACAAGGATATCCAGTACCGCCTGGTGACAAGATTTGTGAATGAGGCCGTCATGTGCCTCCAAGAAGAGATCTTGGCCACACCTGCTGAGGGCGACATTGGAGCTGTCTTTGGGCTCGGCTTTCCCCCTTGTCTTGGAGGTTGGTCTTTCATATTGGGCAGTTAGCTCACTCTGTCTTAGAGCTCATGTTACAGTCACCTTCAACACAGTCCCATTTCTCCACGCAGGGCCTTTCCGCTTTGTGGATCTGTATGGTGCTCAGAAGGTGGTGGACCGGCTCAGGAAGTATGAGGCTGCCTATGGCAAACAGTTCACCCCCTGCCAGCTGCTCATTGACCACGCAACCAGCCACAAAAAGTTTTACCATTGAGCGGACCCATAGCCATTCATTAAGCTTACTGACCCCCCCAGCTGCAGGCAGTGCCGTTTCTCCAACAGAGCAGTGTCTAGATTTCTGGTACCAGAAAGAGAACTTGGCCACCAGATTTGCTCTTTGAAACTGCCTTCAGCTATGACTAGCTCCTGTCCTCTGAAGTCTGTGAATTAGAGTTTGCACTTGATTTGGAGGAAGGGGAATGCACTTTGCTCAAGATTTATAAGGCCCAAGGCGGCAGCATCTTTGCTGCCAATTTCTACCCAGGAGGCCAACGGTGGTGAGAGCAACTCTGCACCCTGCTGAATACCTAATAAAAACCAGCCTCTCTAGCCTCTCGTTCTGTTTTCTTCAGTCTTTGCCCATCTAGTTTAAAGTCCTGTTTTAAGCAGTAAGCTAGAAGAAAGCTCTATACTTTTGAGGTAAGAATGTGCTGAGAGTTGTAGGTGGCAACTGAGAGGGACACTGATAGAAAATGGAACTTTGAGAGCCTACAGCCATTTAAACCTGTGCTTAAATGCTTTGGCAGATCTTCTGCCTAAAGCAGCAGAAATAAATGTATTGGGCACAACCCCAAATCTGATTTCCAGCTCACAGGACTCCGTATGTGTTACAGAGAATGGCTCCGCAGAGTTTTCCTTAGCTGGAGTCTTAACAAAAGCACATACCTGGCCTTTCTTCATGGCACCACTGGGTATATTCTAACAACCAACCTTTAGGTTAACAGTCAGGGCAACCCTTTGCATTCATTACCCGGGGACCTTCAGGGGTAGCATACCAGAATATTAGATACTTTTCCCAAACTGGATTTCCTCATGGCATGATTCTACCATCTTTTCTTGGCAGGACCTATAGTTGGTGTATACATGCTCATCAGGATGTTGGTGGGCAGGTTAAGCAGAAAAGGTAACATTTCCCTGATCGTCACAACAGCCTGTACAGCTGCTGTCCAAGCAAAGGAAATGGGCCTAAAGTCACTATCCCTGCTTCCACAATGATCATGTGATCAGTCCAGGGAATGCTAATACCCAGCACCAGCACCATCCACCCCGGCTCCGCTGGCCTGGTGTGGAAAGTTCCTAGTAAGTGTCAGGACTCCTAATGACCTGGCAGGAGCTATGCTGGATGTGTACAGAATCAGCACTCAAGTCACATCACACTTCATGCATTCTAAACGCTCAGTCCTTCCAACCTGGGTTCTAGTGCAGGTTTTCAGACATCTTCCTGATCCTAGCTCTGGTTGAGGCTGGTAACCAGGTTGCTTACCTCTGGTCCTAATAAATACTGCTAGTTGCTTGGAAGTCAGAAATTATAACCAAGTTATCAGAGTTTGGGTTTTCATATGACCAGTTAAAAATAGAGAACTGATCTATGTCCTAGTCCTGAACCCATCCTCAGCCTTCCTAAGTGAGGGGTCTCAGAACACATTTGTGTGGGCATTCTGCCAAGACCAGGCAGATAGCTTGGGGCCTGGCTGGTGGCATTGTGCTCCAAAGTCTGTATCTTCCCTTTCAGCAGCACTAGGTGATTGTGAATTGTGGTACAGTATGGTGAGAAAGGATTCTTACAGGATAGGGGCAGGGAAGGGGCTTTTGAGGGAAAGAAAGGCTGGCACTTCAGCTGTTTCCAGGGGAGGCCCATTCATGCACACACCAGTCCAAAGGCCTACCCAGAGTGCTGCTGGGTGGTCCACCTGGTCCTCCACGAGAAAGAGCAACTGACACCCAGAAATAAATGCTAGACCACTGACGAACAGTGTAAGTAGGGTTCTGGGACCCATGAAGGCACGGGCAAGAAAACCAAAGGTCTCGGCTCCTCTGTCTGTGCTCGCTCTATCCCTCAAGAGCTGAGGCTGCCTGCTAGAGGCATGAGCACCAGCATGGCTTTGCTACTCAAACACTGAGAAAATATCTCTGTAGATTAGGTAAGGCAAAGGAGAAGGCTGGTGTACCCTCGGGCCCTGACACTAGTGAGCATGAGGAGAATTAGCGTGGCTCTGGTTAGTGATGGTAGAGATGTGGGGCGGGCAGTGGGGCACGGTGACCAGGGCACTGGGCAGCAAGTAAACCACCATGCTCAAAATTTATGTGAACAAGTGCAGACCTAAGCTCCACGAGGAGAGAAAAAAGGTTTTCCAAAGCCACTGTGCTTGCTCCTGGCTTTCTCCCACCTAGCCCCACCTGTGCCATTGACAAACCACCAAGAGTACAATATGGGGACAGACCACCACTTCCCTCAAGCTCCCTGCTGCTCCATGGAGTCAGAACCCAGATATTAAACCCAATCTGAGAGGATTAATAGCTTGTTGCCAAGCTCAGAACAGGAGCCAGGGCTCTCTAGACTCCTGGGGAGCACCTGCCTCCCTACCTAGATAAGCAGGTCAAGGGCAGAGCTTTTCCAAAGTCGTCACCCACAGACCAGAACCCTGAGGCAGAGCCTCTCAGTACTGGGCCGGCTCACAGCCAGAAACCTAGATCAAGGTAGGACAGAGGGAAACACCAGCATCCCAGAGATACAGACGTCAGCATCTCTGACTCTGGGACAGTTCAGGCCAAAAGCCCATAGAGCACAAAGGAGAGAAGGGCACTTGAGAAATTTGTGCTTAAATTATGGACCATCCTTTCTATGTCTCTAACCTGAACCTATGTGCTCAAGAAGTGATGACGTCTGTGAAGATAGCAGGATGTGAAGACCAGCTTTAACCCCAGGACTGCTTGTTGCAATGTCGGAGGTTCAAACTCACCAGCCACTCCTTGGAAACCCTATGTAAGGTCACTATGAGTTGAAACTGACTCAGCGGCACTTAACGACAATGGGAACTGCAGCATATGCCTCACCAAGCCCACGTGTGCTCTGGCACCTTCAGCCCCCCTCCCCACATATTCTGCACACTCTCAAGGCAAGTCGTCCCTGTGCTGAGCAATCTGCTCACAGACGCCCCATTTCCATGTGTCTCTCCTGGAGTCACTCTGCCTGACTGCCCAGCAGAGTCAGTCTTGACCTGGATTCTCCCTGCAGGCAGGACCACTGGCTGCACCCTAAGGCCCCTGCAGCAGCATTGCAGTTGTATATAGCCACCAGCTGGACAGCTCAGATCTTGGGCCGCCAGCCTTTGATGAACTGCATGATCTTCTTGACCTGCAGCTTGGTGAGGTGGAAGTCATCTGCCAGAATGTCCTCACTGAGCTGCACAAAGATGCTACCATCAATGCGTTCTCGGGCAAAGAAGCTCACCACATCCTCCGAGAGCCCAATGAAGCGCAGACTTCGAGAGACCTCCTCCAGGGAGAGGGCAGACAGGTCCGCGGGTGGCTGCCAGGAGGAGGCATCCCGGGGACTGGCAGGAGGCCCTTCCAGGCGCCCCTGAGTGAGAAAGAGTCGTGCCCCACCTGCCTCTGGCCCCTGCAGGGCAGCTGGTGACAGTAGGGTGGGGGCCTGTCGCAGCATCAATCCTTCAGGCTCAAAGGTCTTGGGTGGGCCAAGGGGTGAAAGGTGAGGTCCAGGCCCAGATGCCCCAGCAGCCCTGGGCTCCTGATAGCGCAGCAGCTCGGGCTCTGGAGAACCGCCCTGCCCCAGCTCAAAGGGGTCAAAGGACTCCAGGGCTGGTTCTTGCCACTCAGAAGAAGAGGAGGAGGAGGTGGGGCAGGAGGAGGTGGGAGCAGCTGAATAGGCCTGGCCTGGTGAGGCTGGGCCTGGAGAATAAGCAGGATTGGAGGTAGTTGGGGCACCTGGGGTGGTTGTGGGCCCAGAAGAGGAGGCTGCTAGAGGGCCTGAGGGGTAGGTAGCCCCAGAAAAGGGGTTCAGTGCTCCAAATGGAGCAAAGCGTTTCTGGGGATGGGAGGACTTGAACAGAGGTGGACAGCTGTGGTAAGTCTTGACAGGGGTGTCAGTTCCCAAGACAGAGGCAGTTCGATTGCTCAGGGGCTCAGCATAGGCCCGGGAGGCCTGGCTGGGCTGTGTGGTAGAAGGCAGGGGTCCTGAGGTTGGGCGGCTAGAGGACTCGCCCACCTTGCAGTCCCCCCAGGTACAAGGGTAACAGTAGAGAGAATATGCATCCGGGGATGGGGAGCCACTGCCACTGCGGGAGCCTGCCCTGTGGGCAAAGACAGACAGACACAGAGACAAGCAGAAGGTAAGGTAGAGCAAGGAGGAAAGGGGATGGTTATGTACACAATGCAGCAAGCCACCAGTTGGTCAGCACCACAAGAGGCCACTACTCTGATGTTAGCATCATTGATCCGAAGCCCAACCTCCATCCAACCCTCATCATTTAGAGAAAAATAGCAGGCAGGAGTCAGGGCCCCAGACATCAGTGCCTTCTCCCTCAACTACTGCACTGGGACCCTAACCCTCATACCCTCCCAGGCATTGTCCGCCTACCTCATCCATAAGAAGGAAAGTACTCACCCATCCTGAAGGCCAGAGGAGTAGTAGGAGAGGCTGGAGCTGGGTGAGTGGACAGGCTGCAGCTTGGGAAAGCGAGGGGGGACTGGGGGACTGCCCGAAAGCCAACCGTTACCATTGCCACCCCGGGGAGGGACAGGCGGGGCATTGAGCAGACGGCACTCCTCCTTCACCTGTGAGCAGAGGACAGACAGGATCAAGTCATCAGGCAGGGGCCCTGCCACCACCCTGACCCTAGACAGCCAGCACTCCTTATCTTCCTGTTCCTAAACAGCTGGACAAGGGGAGTGTCTGGGACTCACACTTTGCCAAGAGATGACCTTGCCTTGCACCCCAACAACTCCCCCAGCCACCCACCACCTTCTACCCCTTCTTGCCTTTCCAGCCTATTTGACTCACCAACAAACCACAACACACACTCTCTCCTAGTCCCTTAGAAATTCATTATGAATGTTAAGGTAAAGAATACTGTAGTACTAGATCCAGTGCAATTAGACAAGTAGACATAGTACCACATCAAAGATCAGAGAGACATGGAAAAGGTGGGACAAATGTCAAAGTATCTACCCTCTGAAGCCCTTCCTTATGGGTCAGAGTTCCCCAAAGTAGACTCCATGGGCATTAACAGCTGTTGTTCTGTGGACAAGGTAGTTTGAGAATTTATGGATTTAACAAAGATCAACAGGTTTCCCAGTGCAGACCTTCTCAGAGCCTTTCATCTGCCAATGCTCTCTGACTCCAAAGTGAGGCACTAATGGGTGGGTGGGACATCATAACATTTTCTAAACACATTTCACCAAGGAACCTTGTTTTCACTGGACAACTTAAATAGCAACTGTAGAACCTTGTGAGTAACACTGTTCTAGGATCATTCCAAATTCTCTGAAACTAGGAACCTGCTTTGCAACTTTGCCCCACAATTCCAATGTCTCCTCTCTGGTATCCACCTCCACAAATGCCCTTGTGTGTCTGTCCCCTTTCTCCGCATCTCTACCATCCTCTGACACCCACACCAGTGTGTGGAGATGGGGATTATCAACTCGAGTCTAGGTAGATTAGCTTTTCAGGGTTAAGCGTGGTCCCTTCACCTCAACCTCTTTCACTCACCGCCTCAGATTTGGGAGGGACTGGAGGCGGCGGAGGCTCGGGTTCCAAACGAGGTGGCCCAGTGGTGGCCCCGAAGGAGATAAGGTCGGGGCCCGAGGGCGGCCTAGCCCGGCCTTCAGCGAAGCTCTCGACCGCCTGGTGCGTCCACAGCTCTTCATAGGGGATCTCCGAAGGCGGCGCGGCAGGCTCGGGCGCAGCCCAGTCAGGGTTCACGTACTCCTGGTCGCTGTCGCCAGTGGGAGGAGGCGGGCCAAGCAAAGCGGCCATGCGGGCAGGCGCGGAGACGCGTGGTGCAGGCAGGCAGAGGCGCGCTCGGCGCGGGCTGGCACAATCCTCAGCGAGCTCAGCAGGCGCTTCGCGTACAGCAGTGGAGTACTCGTCCGGGTCGAAGCACTCCCGGCAGTAGGAGGCGCTGTCACGCACCAGGCGCTCGACGCGCGGGTCCCCAGCCAACAGGCCCTGTGGCAGCGCGAAGCGCGGAGTGTCTGTGAGCAGCAGGAAGTGCAGTGGCGCCGGACCCTCACGGCGCAGCGCGAGCCCCAGCACCACTGTCTTGGAGATGATGCTGACCAGCTTGTAACAGTGGCCCTCGCGCACCGGGTGCAGGTCGTAGGGGTTTCGAGGTGGCCGGCTGGGCACCAACACATTCACCGGGAGCCGCACACGTTCGATGATGGCGCGCACTGTGTGCTCACCCTCCTGCATCTGCAGCTCCAGTGGGCTACGTGTGCTGAAGCGGCCCTGACACTGGAAGGGCAGGCTCAGGCTCTCATTGGTGCGGTGGTTCATACAGATGAGACAGGGCATCTTGCCTTTGACGGGCCTAGCACCCCCACCAGTACCTGTGGCCCCCGCACTCCCTGGGCCGTTGCTACCAACCCCGGCCAGCGCACCGGCCCTGCCCAGCTTGCGTAGAAGAGTGGTAAAGCGTGAGCGCTCCTTGGTGGTCTTGGCACACAGAATCTCTGCCTGGCCCATGAGAGTGAGCTCATCACCTGCATGCAGCGTAAAGTTGTATACCTCGCTGTCCTCGCTGAATTCGCCTGACACCACCTGGGGATCCCAGAAAGCACAGAGGACTGAGCCACCAGGAAAAGCCAGGCAGCCAGCAGGACGGGACCCTCCTCTTCCAACCCTCCCACAGCTGAGACCAAATCATGAGCCCTGAATTGGGGTCAGGAGCCCCACATTCCATCCTAGAGAGGCACTGTGGCAACACTACAACCTTAATCACTGGGCTTTAAATACCTCCTGTGATACTCCTACTTGGAAGAGTTGCTGCAGAGTCTAAATCATTGAATATATGTAACAGTGATATACTTTTAAAGTACTCAATAAGTGGCAACTTTGCTTATTTTCTTTAAAATGTGGGTGATAATGTCCCACCCATCCAACAGGCTACTGTGAAGAGAAGTGAGTTAATTGATGGATAACAAAGGGTCTGTAAATAGTAATAAGCTATCTGCAAACAAAACTGTCTGGCTGTTTCTCCACAGCTACTTTCACCAATGGGTTCTAAGGCAGGATGCCCTAAAAGGTTCCCAAGCCAGGGATGACCCTCCCTACTACACATGCTTCCTCCGGCTTCACCACCTTTTGCAGGAAGTTTTCCAGCTTAGTGGGTCATCTCAGACATATCCAATTGTGCCAAAGCCCCTGAAGGGGCACCAGAAGCCACCATGGGCACCAGCGTAGGGTTGCCCTTGAGGAGTGGGGTGAGGGCAGCATGTCTGGTGCAGGAAAGACTGACCTTGACACTGAAGGTGATGGCTTCCATCACAAAGATGCGGTCAGGGAAGACGCTGGCCACCTCCTCCACACTGCTGAAGTACCTCACCGGCTCTCGCACATCCCGGGCCTGCTCCAGGAGCTTGAACTTCCCTGCATAGTGGGAATGCAGATCACTGGGATGGGTCTGCCTGCTTAGTGCTCTTATGGTTCCTAAGTTTCACTCCCCACACTCAGGAGTGCAGAGCATTTGCACTAGCATCAGGTAGAGACACTGCTCATCTGGCTTAAGGGTCATTGAGAGGGCGAACACAGGTCTCTGGCAGCTATACACAGCCATCCCCCTGTGGACAGGTTGTGGGTGAGGGCAGTGGTTGCCTGCCCAGAGAACCCCAACTGCAAACTGGCTCCAAACACTTAGAGAGCTGGCCTCTGGCACAAGGATCAGTATGGCAGGCTCATATTTTAGTCGCAGTCTGCCCTCTGATTTGCAGTGACCTTAGCCAAGCCACTTCCTTTCCTGGGCTTCTGAGTCCTCATCTTGAGAGGGTTGGAGTCAATGATCCTGGATCTTGCATTCTGTGCATCTATGATGGGATGCTCTCTATGCCAATGCACTGGTCAGACTTGCGCCCAGTCTCACGCCTTCAAGGCCCTGGGAGCAGCTTCTGATCCCAGCTCTGTTCCCAAGGTCCTCCTCCTCTCATCCAATGTTCAGTCTGCCCCCCAGAAGGCACTGAGTTGAGCCTAGCAAAGCCACCTCCCTCAGATGAGGCCTTCCCAACCAGCAGTCCAGGGCTTTTTCTGGCTGGCTCAGCACATGCCTCCAGGAGACACAGATTTTAAAGAAGTGATAATGCTCAGTGAGACTGACATTCTTATGTCAATGGTCACACCTTTTATGTGACAACCCCAACCTCTTACAGAAGACAATACTGAAGTGCCTTGACATATAGATGCCAGGACTTAAACAGTTTAAGATTACAGGATGAGAGAAGGAAAGGTAACTAGATTCTGGAGCACTCTTTGTGGTTGCCTCAGTCTTCATTCATTCATTCATTCATTTATTCTACAAACACTGGTAAAGCACATACTATGTGCCAAATATAGGCCCTAGCTAAGGTACAGAGTTATGTGAAATACAATCTGGAAATACACAAGGGAGTCAAGATAGAATGGGTGAGATGGTAAATACCCAATGGTGGTAGGTGACAGGCACTAGCTATAGCAGAGGCAGGAATAAAGAGCTAGCAGTAAAGGGGGACAGACACCTGCCTGGCAGAATCAGGTGAGATCACTGAGCTGCACCTTAAGAATGAAAGTAATTCAGAAGTGTGGAGGAAGAAGATGGACTGAAAATAAGAACCACAGGGAAAGTAGGATAAGGAATGCTATACTGAGAGGATTGCAGTCATTCAGATAAAGTGAAGTGCAGGATTTCTTAAATGTAAAACTGATGAGCTGCTTAATGAACCCTCACTCAAATCACAATAAAAAGTTAAAAAAAAAAAAACTGGATGGGATTTTTCAAAATGGGCATTCTACCTGGAAGAAATAACATAAGCAAAGATACCAAGACACAAAAACAGACTGCGGGTCAGGTCTGGGAGCACGTAGAAGGGAGGACTAGAGGGGAGGATGGCAGGAGCTGAAGCAGACCACTGCTGGAGGACTTTATTCTGTAGGAAGTGAAACCCATTGGGGGGTTTTGAACAAGGAAATACCATGATTCTAGTTGGACTCTATAAAGAATCCAGTCTGGTAAATAACCCAGTAATGAGTTTTGAAAAAGAACTAGGGCAGTGACTAAGGGAAGAGCCAAAAATGAACAAACCAAAAGATTTGGAAGGAAAACATCAGTCTTGGGTGACTGATTGAAGGCCAGGAAAGATGGAAGAGACTGAAGACCCTAAGGGACCTGGAAAAACAAATTGTGGGCAAGGGCACATCCTGAGCAGGATAGGGAGGGCTCTCCAGGTGGTATTGCCCCAGGGCAGGTGAGCCTGTGGGAGCAGAGTGTGGGGAGGTGTGCTCAGGAGGAAGAGACTTGATTTAGAGGGTGGATTTAGCTGTGGACATGTAAGGTGGCTCAGGGAAGGGAAAGAGCAGAGAATCTTAACCCTTCGGGGTTGAGTTCCCAGAAAAATGCCCACACTGTATGCAAACACACATACACAATTTTGTCCATTTTGAGGGTACCAGAAGCCCCTAACAGGCACTCAGGTGGCATTCAGCTACTAACCAAAAGGTTAGCTATTCAAACCCACCAGCTATTCCTGGTAAAAGATGTGGAAAACTACTTCTGTAAAGATTTACAGCCTTGGTAACCCTGTGGGACATTTCTACTTCAGGGTTGCTACAGGGTCACTAAGGAGCTCTGGTAACGTAGTGGTTACTAGTTGGGCTGCTAATGTCAAGGTCAGCAGTTTGAAACTACCAGCTATTCTGCAGGAGAAAGATGAAACTTTCTGCTTCTGTAAAGATTTACAGCCTTGGAAATCCTTAACAGGGTCACTATGAGTCACAACCAACTCCATAGCCCATAACCACCACCACCACAGGGTCGCTAGGAGTCCTGTTGTGGTGCTGTAAGATAAGCACTGGACTGCAAAGTCATTTGAATCATAAGGTTAGTGGTTCAAATTCACCGGTTGCTCCTCAGAAACCCTATATAGGGTTGCTATGGGTCAGAACCGACTCAATGGCACATAACAACACAACAAAACAGGGTCACTATGAGTCCATATCGACTCACAAGCAACAAGAACTCCCAAAGTTCAGCCAGAGACCCAGATTATGGCCCATCCAGGTGCAGGGTATGAAGAAGAGAAGACCAAGGGCATAGCCTGCTGCATCAACCTGAAGGAGAAGGAAGAAAAATGAGAGCCAAGAAAGACAAGGGAAAGTAAGTGGGAAATCTCCTGGAGAAAGCCGGTAGGGGAGGACCCACGTCCTGCTCTAACCACCCTGGCTGGGCCCTCGTGAGAGGAGCCCTCAAAAGTGCCACAGCCTGAGGGGAGTTCCAGACTGCACAGACCCCATCCCTCAGGCCTCCTTCCCCCTATGGCCACACATAAACCCCCAACATCTCCACTATGCAGGGAGAAATGCCCTATCCCCACTGTAGTTAAAACGAGGCGAGTCAGGGCTAGAATCCAGGAGGATGTGGCTGCGAGGATCAATGTAACCATGGCACCCAGCCCCCTCACTCTGTAGCAGCCGGAGCCCAGCCCAGCGCCTACCATTACGTCTGGGAAGAAGGAAGGAAGACCTCCCAGGAGCCCGCTTTCTCCCTTTGGAAGCTTTTTCTGTCCTCCTGACCGGAAGCCAGGAAGCCAGGCCAGGGGCTGCTTCCTCACCTGGTCACCCCTCAGTGAGACCTGAGGGCCCCCTCCTTCCCACACTGGGCCCCGCCCCACCCCACCCCGCAACTCCACTCCAGAAACCAGCCCCGTCTGCTTCCCCTCCCTGTCCTTGACCCCCAGAACACATTAGCCCATTATTGTTGTTATATGCAGTGGAGTCCATTCCGACTCACAGCGACCCTGTACAGGGTTTCCGAGGCTATAAATCTTTATGGGAGCAGAAACCCTCATCTTTCTCCCACAGAATAGCTGGTAGTTTTGAACTGCTGATCCTAAGATTAGCAGCCCAATTCATAACCACTAAGCTACCAGAGCTCCTTCATTAGCACATTAGCATCTGCTTGATTGTGGCAGCCAGAAGCACTTGAGGTCTGAAGCAGGATTCGTTGTTGTTAAGTGCCATCAAGTCGGTTCCGACCCATAGCGACCCTGTATAAGGTTTCCAAGGAGCAGCTGGTGAGCTTGAACTGCCAACCTTGCAGTTCAAACAGCTTTGCAGTCTAGCGCATAAACCCACAGCACCACACCAGGATGCAGGATAGGGTCTCCTTTATAACCCACCAACCCTTGGCACCTGGCTGATTGGACATACTCAAATAACAACAAAATGTTACTGCCATCCAACTCTTGCCACGTGCTCCTTACCGTAAATATGTATCAGAGCAGACAAATATGTATCAGAGCAGACAAATCTCCTCTCTCTCCTAAAGAGTAGCTGATAGGGTTAGTAGCCCCACATTTAACCCAGTACACTACCAAACAAACAAACAAAAAACACCCTACAAAAATCCCACTGCCATCGAGTTGATTCAAACGCCAGTGCTGGTAAAAATTCAGGCTTGGGAACCGGACAGACCTGGTAAGAATCCCAGCTCTGCCACCAACCCTATGACCTTGGGCAAAGTATTTCATCTCAATGGGCTTCAGTTTTCCCATCTGTAAAATGAAATCATACTACTTGGCTCACAGGGCAGGGGACATATGCTAAGTAATCAGGGCACAAAGCCAGTACAGAACTCTTGGGATGTGTACTAGGCTCAGGGCAGATACCTAGAACCCACCAGAAGACCTAAGGGGGGCAGTTGCAAGGGAACCAGGTCTCCCAGCCTCCCAGAGGGAGACTAAGGTGGGGTTCTAGCAGTACCCCACCCCCAACTCCGCTCAGGCCACCGCCCTTCCTTCTCCACAGCTTTCCGGGGTCAGAGCCTGGACCCTCCTCCCGCCCAGCTTTCATTATTAATTCATTAGGAGAAATCAGCGGTCGTCAGTGCACTCAGAGCATTCTGACCCGCAGGCCGTCTGGCTCCTCCCCCTCCTAGGAGGCGTCTGCTTCCCCTCCCCCACCTAGGCAGTTCAGAAAAATGGGGCTAGGTGTGCAACACCCCCATTACCACCATCATGCACAAGCACTCAGGAGGCACCAAAAGAGATGAGAGAAATGGCCTAAGAGCCCCCTGAACTTCTAACTCCTAACAGACTGCCTGCCTTGGTGTGTCTCTGTAAAAAGGAGGCAATCTTTCTTCCTTGGGTGCCCTATTAATAATGTTAAGGTTGGCAGGCAGAACCCACCCTCACAGCACCTGAAAGATAGGTCAGGCAATCTGCTTTCACAAAGAAGACTGCAGCGAAGAAAACCCTATGGGGCTCAGTTCTACCCTGTAACAAACACATTGGGTTGCCATGAGTCAGAACCCACTAGGAGCAAGTAGTTTGGTTTGTTGTTTGGTGATCCATTTGGTAATAGTTGGGCAACATAATGATTATGAGTCTGGCTGCTAACCTCAAGGCCAGCAGTTCGAAACTACCAAGCATTCCATGGGAGAAAGATGAGGCTTTCTTCTGTAAAAGCCTCGGAAACCCTACAACGGGACATTGAGTCTGAACCAACTCCATGGTACACAGCCACCACCACCAATCCTCACCAGAGCTTTAAGGACACCGCTGAGAGGGGCAGTCCCTGAAACCATGCTCTGTCATGAAGGCATTTTCCAACCTTTTTTCTCTTATCCCAAGAAGACCAGGGACCACTCCCCAAGCCAATGTCAGATTTCCAGGCTGGGAAATTTCTAGCTTGGAGAGAAATCCCTGCACTAAGGGCTCTAGGTGCAGGACAGGACCCCAAGTCAGAAAGGCAGTTTCTTCATCTTTTAAGAGGGAACAGAGGGGTCCAATGGTGCCAACTTCACAGGACTATTGTAGCGTACAAGGGGGAATGTGAGTAAAGGGCTTTGCCCTATCCCATGGCTCAGGCGAGACCCAAGGCAGGAAAGGGCTAAGCATTCCCCAGTTCAAAAGGTTCCCAGTCTTTGTTGCCCACCTTACTGGAGGCTGAGTGCACAGTGTCCTGTAGTAAGAACCCAGACCTGGGCAAACTTCTGAAACTCCTGGAACTTTCCTGTCCTTGTGAGTTAAGAAAGTTGGCGTTGACTTTCTCACGGGGCCGATGTGAGAATGAAATGAGAAAAATTCTCTGCCCAGTGCCTGGAAACAGTCAGCCCAGTCTGTGCTTAATATATAGCAGCTGTGAGAACCTGGACTCACAGGGAGGCTTCTCTAGGAGGAGGCCACCAGACTCCATCCATCCACAAAGCAGACAATCAATTGACTTTAATAAAATTTTTGACTTTTAAATGAGATGATGCTAATGAACTTTTACTTTCATCTGTTTTATATATGATGTTGATATCCCCTGGGGTCACTGCACCCTGGGAGTGGCATAGTAAATATCAGCCTAGGAGTCAGCATACCTGGGTCTTGCCCTGACTCTGCCACTTACTATGTGACCCTAGGCAAGTCATTTTTTTCTTCTTTGGTCCTCTATTTCATCCTCTGTAAATAGAACTGTACTTTTCTTTTTGACAGCAGAATCCTTTCTTCAAACATAATCTTAGGTAGGACATCAACATCATATATAAAACAGATGAAAGTAAAAATTCATTAGCATAATCTCATTTAAAAGTCAAAATTTTTAAGAAAGTCAATTGATGAAGATAATGACCTGAGTAACACAATAATTGGGGGAAATGGGATTAGAGCTGAACACCCAATGTTGTTGAGTCAATTCCAACTCACAGTGACACAATAGGCAGAGCAGAACTGCTCCATAGGGTTTCTGAGGCTGGAAATCTTTTATGAGAGCAGACAACTTTATCCTTCTCCCTCAGAGCAGCTGGTGGATTTGAACTGCCCAGTGTTTAATCCATTACACCACCCGGGCTCCTTAGAGACCACAGGGCAGCAGCCATATCATCAGCCTGAGCAATCTCATTTATTTCTGAAGTTTTTTGGTTGTATAATATTGAGAAGCTCTAGGCAGATACTCTCTTTGAGGGTCTATATGGAAAAAAAGGTTAATGAGGTAGCTCAAGCTACACACTGAAGGTCTCTGATTATGGTTAAGGTTTGATTTGTACCAATTTGAGGGCTGGGTATTTTTTTAATCATTAATTTAAAATCTGCAAACCAAGAGTCACTTCTCTAGACGCCCAGAGCTCCAGAGAATAGTTATGAAAACCACTAGACTAAGTAATCCTCACCCTGCCACCCATGGGGCTTCAAGTTCATGTCCTCTCTCATCCCTGCAGCTCCAAGGACAAGCTGGTCCCAATAGCTCCCCTCAAGCCTTCCCCACTCCCTACCCTTGGCTCTAGACCCTTGTGCCTATATCCCTCCCCCAACCATTGGGCTTATGCCCCAGCTGGGCACACCTGGGTACTGCAGAGGGATGTCGATCTTGGGCCCTATGACGTAGTGGCCTTCCTCCAGGGTGTGGGCTGTCACTGTGGTCCACTGGCGGCAGGAGTGGATGAGTAGGATGTCACGCTCACTGACACCTTCGGCATACTCCCCTGGGAGGAGGAGGGCAGCCGAGGAGGGAATGGAAGAGAGGATGTTAGGAGGGGCAGAAAGAACAAGTAGGGTGACCTCCTCACCAAGACACCACCCTGGGACAGCTCCCCCACAATCCCTGTATAGGTCAGCTCCACTCAAGGGGCAGGCTGGCTGCCAGCTGTGGCCTCAGGACTGTGAGTCAGACCCCGACTCTCATACTCCAGATCCCCCAATGGGGCTCACGGCCGCCAGCCTAGCCACAGTCCTTCATGTGTCATTCAGTCAGATGCCCTGTCCCAGGCCTTGCGCTGAGGTCTGGGGCTCCCAGTGGATGAAACCAGCCCCTGTCCGCTAACAGCACTTGGGCCCATGGGGAGGTGGGCAAAGATGCGAACAGTGAATCCAGGGCCAGTTTGAGCCACTGAAAGGCTGTCTGAGGAACACAGAGGGAAGAAGCAGATTCGATGAGGGGGGCACCTGAGCTGAGCCCCAAGAGCAGAATTCTCTGTCAGTACCAGGCCAGGCGAGGGGGGCCTTGTTGACAGAATAGAGAGGGCCTACAAGAGGCTTCTGTTGTGGGTGCCAGGTGTGAGGGCTGCCCTGGAGCTATGGGTCACTTGGGTCAGGAGAATGGAAGGGTTTAGAGGTACTGATTCTTAGCTCTCCTAGCATAGCCCCTCCCTCTTCACCCGTGCCATGGGCAGTCTCCTGAATTCAGGGAATCTCATAGGAGGGAGAATAAGCCCTCAGAGAGGCAACCCTCTCCCAGGCTCTTCATCATCCCAGCTTTTGGAGTACTGTTATGAAGGCTGGAAGAGAGGGATTTGAAGGATGAGAGGAGGGATGGAGGGGGTTGGAGAGAGCCTAGTCTTGGTGGAAGCTGCACTGGGGCAGAGGTGTTGGGAGGGGCCTGGGCCTCTAGAGGCTCCAACCCCAGCAACCGTTTCCAGGGGAGCAGAGGGGCTGGCCCAGCTTCCAGGAGGCTGGTGGGCTGTCTCCTGGTTGCAGCTGGTGGGCAGGGTGGGGGTGGGGGATCCCTCCTTCCCAGCTCCCTTAGACACAACTTAATAAATTTGTGCCCCCCAGCCAAATGGGACAAAATTTACCAAGTTGGCTTTGAGTGTACGTAACTGTGGTGTGCACATGGATGGGGTGGGGGCTGCAGGGAGTGTGGGGCTCCCACTGTGTAGTGGGCCGAGGAATAGGGAGGTTTGAGTCTTCCTCCCCAGCCTTCCACACTTCTTGGGACATAGAAGGTAAGCTCACCTAAGCCCCAGCCCACCCTTCTATAGGGACACAAGCCACAGCCACACTGGCACATACCAACAGCCATGGGTCATGGTCACCAACAGGTGACTCACCACAGCTATCTGGCCTACAGTGACAGGTGCTTTATCACCCCAACAATTCAGACCCATCATGGTTGTTCCCACCAAGGGGCTCCTCCCAAATGCTCAGCCATGCAAGGACCTTAAAGGCCACACACTTGGATCACATTCACACTCTGAGGATCATGAGGGCCACACAGTCACAAGCAGACAGATACTCACTGCTTGGTCCCTCTTTCATTCATTCAATCTATACATCTTTGCTAGACAGGATGAGCCTGGAAGAAGACAATGTATGGAGTATTCTAAGGGTGCATGAGATAAGAGACAGAACTGGGATGTCACAAGGTGTCAAAGGATCCCAGAGAAACCCGTAACCTTTCTGAAGAACCCTCAGAAACCTTCAGGGTATGGGGGAGATACCAAAGAGGTTGTGTGCGAAGTGTCCAGGCAGCAACTTGGGGCAAGAAGATCCCACTCACACACATTCACAGGCCCATACACACAGCCTTGCTGCTGAAGCGGTTTCAGGACCACACACTGACGATCTGGTGTCCTTACCCCGGTACAAGATGTTGGGTACCCAGCCCGACGACCCTCTCACAGAGCCTCTCACAGAGCCTGCTCCAGGGCCACACTGACATTCACTGTGCCCACTCCTCGCCGCTGCCGTCGCCGCCGCGGGTCAGAGGAGGGGCTGCCGGGCCGGCGAAGCCGGCTGCCACGGACCCCATTAGCATTCCGGGAAGCGAGTGTGCCAACGCGGGCCAAACCCCTATTCTTCTCACACACAAAACCCCCGGCCTGGCTGCCAGCTCCGGCTCCTGCCCCTCCCCCAGCCAAGCAGCCCCCTTCCCCCCAACGGCCCCCTCGCTCGGTACCTACTCCAGGCGTCCCTTCTTGGGCCCCCTATGCACTGCCCCCTCATTGTAGGCTCCCGGGCCCCACGCACAAGTGGGGCGAGGCGTGAGGGAAAGCTGGGGATTCTGGGGGGCACGCCTGGCAGGAGGGGCCGCTTCCTCGGGCTTCTCTCGGAGGGGGCCAGCCCATCCCTGAGAACTTGAGCCTGCACCCTGGGATGCTAAAAGAAGGTGCAAAGAGGCAGAACAAGAGAGCCCGAACAGGGTTGGGAGCGATGGCAGTGGGAAGGCAGAGTCCGAGGCCCAAGGGATGCGGACGGATCTAGGTGAGAGGACGGAGACAAAGGATAGAGGGGTGCAGCCAAGGCTGGGGGCCTTAGGGGTGCGAGGAAAGGCGTGCGCCGACGGGACGGGCGAGGTTTCTCCACCGTGCTTCGGGCTCCAGTTGAGCTGGGAAACTCGGCCCTGGGCTCCGACTGGGGTTTCCTGTGCAGGTCCGCGGGGCCCGGGAGGAGGAGGACCCTCGGCTCTTGGGCCCCAGGTCTCTAGAGACACGCGCCGGGAGCCGCGCGGAACAGCAGGAAAGGTGGCAACCACATCCTCACGGCCATACTAGCACCTGCTTGACGAGTCCCCAACTTCCCCGCAGAGGCCCCCAACTCCGCTCCCCGGCAGCCCTGATACCTGGTCCGAGGCAGGCGAGCGTGGGTAGGCGGCAGCGACTAACGATGAGGTCGAGCGGGAAGGCGCCCATGCTCCAGCGCAGGCCAGCTAGGCCGGCCGCCAGCTTCTCCATGGCATGGGCGCTCCTGGGGCCGCCGTTCCCGGGCCCCGACGGCCAGACCCGCGAGGCCGGGGCTTTAGCGCCCACCGCCACCTCCTGGGGCCGCCGCGGCGCTCTGGCTTGGTCGCCTGGCCCCGGGCTGCCACGTCACGTGGCCGGCCTCCCCGCAGGGCGCCGGCCCCCGCCGCCCCTCGCCCCACCCCCGGCCCGCGCCGCCCGCCGCCAAGTCCCGCCTCCCCGCCCATCCCTGTCGCCGGCCTCCCTTCCCCAGGGGATCCAGGTGACAGCCGATGACCGACACCAGGAGGAGTGCCTGGAAGGATAACGAAGACCCAAAGCGGCATCTGCGGGGTCGCGGGACGGCCTCTTCTTCCCATTCCGGAGTGTCTAGGTCCCCCCTTTCCCCGCTGGGAGCGGCGCCTCCAGGACTCACTCTCACCTGCGCGGGTCCTGCTTGGCTCCCCAAGGTCCTGCTGCTCAATCCAGCCTTCGCGGTCACTGCCTCTAGCGGGAGCGGTGCGGACACTGATTACCTTCAGTTTTACCCAGTCAGCCGAAGCAGGCCTCAATCTCCCATTTTACAGATGAGCAACTGAAGCGCATTAAATTCAAGAGGCAGCCAGGATTCGAACCCAGGTCTGACTACAAATGCTAATGACTTCCTTCGTGAGTCGCTGCATCCTTACAACACCCCTAAAACACTACTATACAACAGCATTTTACAAGTTTCCAGCACCCTCTTACCTGATTTTCACAGCACTCCTATAAACCAGATAGCGTCAGCACATGGAATTTGATTGCTTCCACTTTATAAATGGGAGTCCTGATGCGGTGCTGTAGGCTAAGGTCAGTGCAAGGTGGGTGGTTCAAACTCATCTGCCGCTATACAGGGTCGCTATGAGTTGGAACTGAGTCAGACACTTTACAACAACAACGACTTTATAAATGAGGAAGCCGAGGCTCAAACACGTAATAAAAGTGGTGTTCTTTTTCTCGGGAGATTTGTTGGAGCCCCTGTGCCTTTTCTGCCTACCTTCTTTCTTTGCTCCTCTTTTCTTCCCCTTATCACCTTCTTTCAGCTCCTCTTGGCTCCGGGACGCCCCTTGGGAACCCTTCCAGAAGCTGAGGTGGCTTTGTCCATGTCGGCTCAAGCTGTGCCTGAGTCCACCTGCATACCGTCACCCTCACTTTGTCTGCGGCGCCCTCTGCATGTCACAAGGGACTGTGCAAGCTTGTCACTCTTGGCAAAGACTTCTAAGAAGAGGACCTGAGCCCCAGACTAGTCCTTATATCTTCTTACACATAAACCTATCTCTCCGGGTTACTGGGCTGAGGGCTAGAGTCAAATTTGTTGCTATGAGTTGAAACCGACTGCACCTAACAACAGCAACACTGAAGCTCCCCTGGGTCTATGTGGTTAGGGTGGGTCTTTCCTTAGGGAAGTGGGAAGCAGAGACCTAGCAGAAGGGAAGAAGAAAAGAGAAAATATAGGAGTCTAAGAAATTCTGGTGTAGTGCTATAGGATAAGCACTGGACTCCTAACCCCAATGTCATTAGTTCTCTGAAACCCTATACAGGGTCTGCTCTGAGTCAGAACCAACTCAAGGCACATAACAACAACAACAACAGTAGTATCCTGGTATGGCATGGTAGAATAAGCACTGGACTGCTAATCACAAGGCTGGCAGTTCAAACCCACCAGCCACTCCTCGGAAACCCTATTGGGGTCATTATGAGTCAGAACCAACTTGATGGCACTTAACAACAAGAACAGGGAGGGGTAGCTCAGAAGAAAAGCCTGAAGGTCAACTTCCAAAACTTTAAATACTGAAAACCCTATGGAGCCCAGTTCTACTCTGATATCCACTCCAAGGCAACTGGCACTGCTAAGAGGGGAATGAAGAACACAGGTAGGAGGATGAAGAGGTCAAAAGAAGTGATTGAAAAGGGATCTTCGATTCAAACTTCTTCCCCTACCTTGTAAGGTCTCATTTGACATCCAGAGGAACCATGGACTGCCAGAAGAACAAACAAATCCATGTTGGAAGAAATGCAGTCTTGCATTTGGAAATGCAGTATGCTCATCGGAAGCCAGGATGGCCAGACTTCATCTCTCGTACTTCGGACATATTATCAGGAGGGACCAGTCACTGGAGAAGGATATCATATTTGGTAAAGTGGAGGGTGAAGAAAAATAGACCCCCCAACAAGATGGATTGGCACAGTGCCAGCAGCAGTGAGCTCAGACATAGCAATGATTGTGAGGTTGGCCCAGGACCTGGCAGTGTTTCTTCCTATTGTGCCCAGGGTCGCTATGATTTGGTACTGACTTGATGACACCTAACAATACAATGAGTTAGAAACAACTTGATGGCAGTGGATTTGGATTTGGGGAGAGGTGTAGGACAAGCACTGGTCTTCAAACTATAAGGTCAGGGGTTTAAGCCCACCAGACACTCCTCAGGAAAAAGGTGAGACTTTCTGCTCCCACAAATGGGTACAACCTTGAAACACTATACAGAGTAGCTATGAGTAGGAACTGACTCCATGGCAGTTAACAACAACAATGCCTGTGGTCATAATTCCATTTGGAAATGGATTGTCTTTGTTGTGTTAATGATGCAGGAATAATATGGAGTATGTTTTGAGTCAGTCTCTTGTAAGATATAAAAAGAGCAAATCAAACAAGCAGAAATGGGGTAAGATAAATGCCAAGTCCCTTGAAGATATGCAATATCCAGGAAACAGAAGCTGAAGAGAGAAGGACCTTCCTCCAGAGCTGACAGAGAAACCTTTCCTTTAGAACCTGGCCCCTGAATGCAGACTTCTAGCTTCCTAAACTGTGAGGAAAGAAATGTCTGTTTGTGAAAGCCACCCATTTGTGGTAATGCTATTATAACAGCACTAGATATCTAGGGCCCTAGTTGTAGAAACCACCTCTGTGATAAATTCTCTTACTTAGCATCATTACTTGGCACTAGAATTACACTTTCACTGTGTTCCCTCTCCCAACCCCCCACAACCCCTGCATTCACAGGCACTTCCACATCAAAAGCCACACTTGAGGTTGGTCCTCTTGGATTTTAGATCCCAGCTAGAGTCATGATCTTTCAATCTGATAGTCTTCTCTCTAAACCTTAAATCCAACTAGTCACCAAGTCATGGAAATTCTAATTCCACCATGTTCAGGTAGTCAGTCCCTCTGCCTCCTCACTAGCCATACTGCCTCAGCCCTCATTGTATCTTCTTCATGAGACTTCCCTTCCTATTCCTTACCCAAACCCATGTCACCCTGGGTTTTAGCTGAGTCAAGGACAACACAGATATGAATATAAGGCAGGTCCACCTAATTGGACAGACCCACCTCCTAACTATTGTAGACTTTCCAGAGCCCTCTCCAATGATCTGACACAATTGCCCAAATACTTTCCTTGATTTGATGGGGGCACAGGAGTCTGGAAGAGGAAAAAGGAACTCAGCTCCAATTAGTCAGAGATCCTTGGACGGAGATTGCTGGAAGAAGGTTGACAGGACAGAGTCAGGAAAACCCCCAAAAAGAGCAAGATGTTCTTCAGAGGTGTCAGACTGAGCAGTCAGATCTGGAAGTAAGAGAGCCAGTGGGGTGCAGTAGTATTTGGGACTATGCCTGTGCTTCCCCCTTTGAGAAGAGTCTGTATGGGGAAAGAGATGGCTGAGAGACATCCCAGCTGCTCTGCTGTGGATTTGACCTGTCACAGGATTGGATGACCAGAAGGTGGTTCCCGACTCACTAATGGTAGGAGACAAGAAAGACCAGAGGGGGGAACAGGAGGAGGTCATGACCCCCCTCATCCATGCCCCCCTCCACCCCAGAAGAGGCATTTGCCCAGAGGTCAGGCCGCAGCACAGGGCAGTAGCAGGATGGTCAATGAGTAGAAAGATTCCAAAATCAGTCAGCAGCATCTCAGGTTATTTGTGAGACAACTACCCACCCCACCACTCATCAATCGGTTTGTCATACTGTGGTGGCTTGTGAGTTGTTGTGATTCTGAAAGCTATGCCACAAGTATTTACGACAGTCTAGAAATAAAGACAGACTAGGAAGAAGGACTGACAAACTACTTCCAAATATTTAGTCACTGAAAACCTTATAAATAGCAGAGAAACACTGTCAGATATAGTGCCGGAAAATGAGCCCCTCAGGTTGGAAGGCACTCAAAATGCAACTGGGGAAGAGCTGCCTCCTTAAAGAAGAATTGACCGTGATGAT